TAAAATCTAAAAAATATATCATATGAAAATAAATTAATACTCATAATTTACCAAATATACTTCATAAATACATAATATATCATATGCAAATAAATTAATACCTATCATTTTATAAAAGTTAATCCAAAGAGAGAAATCAAAAATAAATGTAAAAAAGTGTGCTTAAAATGTTACAAATGACTCAAATGTTTTTATTAGTTTGCATAAATAGGTCTATATATAAACAAATGTTAGAGTTTTATTTAGGTAGTAGTCAAGAAATTTCAACTGATTCTTCTTAGAAAGATTTGTATTTATAAACTCAATAACATAAGCAAATGTTGCACGAAAAAATAATTCTCTAGCTCTCTTCTCACCTAGTAGTAATCAAATTTGTCGAAACTTGGAGCAGTAAAGCTAAAATCCTCCATTAATGGAGTTTGAGTTTGGTGAAGAGAAAAGGAACATTCTAGAGAGAAAATGAAAGGTAAAATCATATGAATTGTATTTCACCAAAACTAACTGTACAAGCTTTACATTACTGTGTATATATACAAGTATGAAAGTTATGAAAATAACTAACTACTGCACTGTAGCAAACCTAACCGACTCTAACTAACTTCAACTGACTATCACTGACTGTGTATTGTCTTTGCTAATTACTTAATTCTAACAAAATTCAATATTACAATTGTTATTTAAATTTCTTCACAAGACTCTTGAAATAAATTTTATGGCTTCAAATTTTAAGTCTTTCTTCAAACATAGTATTCAAATGTGAAGTTCCAGGAAACCAAAAAAGAGGTATTGAACCTCAATTCATTATAAAAAATCTTATTTATACAAAGTACATATTAGATGCATCTTCGAGAATATATTTCAAAATCTTTATAAAATCAACAAATTCATAGTAGGTTATAATAAATTTAAGTCTTCCAATAGGCTATGTGAATTCTTTTAATAGTTCAATACATTCAAGTTACGAATATATGACAAAATCTTTATATATAATTAACAATAAAAGATATATATGTCAACGCTCTTATCAATTTCAACCGTATAGAAATTTGAGTCAGTAGAGGTGAAACTTTTGCATATATTAGTGTCTAGAATTGTATAATTTATTGATTGACGCGAGACACACATGTAAAGCAAGTAGATTAAATTAGTAATAACTAGTAACCAACACAACATGTGAGACTTGGACAAAAGCGATAAAAAGTCGCAAAAAAACAGTCCAACAACAAGAGTCAAAAAATTTTTTAGGATGTTGATTGCTCTAATTCACCAATCTTATTTAATTTTAGATTTAACATGCTAAGTCCATAAACACAAATATCAAAATAGAAATGTTATACAATTAAATAGAAACTGAAATTACGCTTTTCTCACAACAATAATTATGAGCTATTTATCGTGAGTTTTGGATTGAATGTTCAATCTTTCACAACCAATTGTCGCAATTGCAAATATAACCTTTGGACTACATATTCACTTAAACTCATAATTTCCCACATTTGGTATAGTTATATAAGTAAGAAATTATTATAAGCTTAACAATTATTAAATTTCAAATCATAACTTTAATAATATAATAAATTTAATATTAAATATAAATCATGAATCCGCTTCCGAATTTGTCTCGATCATGAGAGCCCACAAGGTGCTATGATTTACGGAAATTTACAAACATTATTAGTGTATTATTTAATAATACAACTATAGTTTCATATATTATGATTCATGACTACAATTTAATGAAATTTGCTATGAAGAATCTCAAGTATTTGTATAAACCCTTTGCATATATTTTTGTATTTGTAAACGTATCAATTGTATAATTTCAATAGTTATATAGAATTGCTTATTTGTCTATATTAATAGATTGTATACAATACAAATAATTGTATATAATATGTTACTTGTGTAAATCCAATTTTAGACCAAAAAGATAAGTAAAGGGGTAGTTTTATACCAAGTTGGATGAATGATATTTTTTAAACTTTTCCCTATAGTTCAAGAGTATTTTTGACAAGATAAAAAAAATATAAAGAAACATGGGCAAAAGAACAATTAAAGTTTGAATTGGGCCCTTGGAACATCACACTCTTCTTCTTTTGAACTGGAAAGTGGGCAGATAAGCAAACACCTATGGGCCTTGGGCCCTTTACAACTCCATAACATGGACCCATTTACAGCTCTCCATTCGGATAAGAGCAAACAATTCAAACCTCACTAATTTAGGTTTTAGTTGCGTGTCCTCATATTAATTTTGAAACTTATCATTCGTATTGCTTTTTTTCGCCAGATACATATATTTGGCCCATTCAAATACATGTATCTCAGATATATACGGATCAAATTAGATGTAGTTTACATTGTATCCAAGACTGACTCTCTTGCTCGTATATTTGTCTCATTCAGATACATGTATCTCAGATACATACATACGGATCGAATTAGGTGTAGTTTACACTATATCCAAGATTGATTCTCTTGCTTGCTTCTCTCCTCTCTTGCTCGCCTCTGTATTTAGAATGTATATGATTTTTATGATTCTATTTAAATGGATTATTATTGCATTGTTAGTCGTTCCATTAATTCTAGGGTTATTTTGCACCTTCTTCTTTTTTTCAGTTTTTAGTTGATCTTTAATTTTTTGTCTTTTAAATAATTGTTCTATGTGAATTGGGATATAAATTTATATTTTGTATCATAATATCTCATAAATAATGTCCTGCATCTTTAAAGAAGTTTGTTTTTAAGGCAAAAATTTGATATTAACTCATTTGAATAGCAAAATAAAAGACTTGATATGTTTGATCACAGTAACCACACCAAATTTCTATAAAACTAACAACAAAACCTTATATACTTATTTGTTTTGTTTATCAACCTCATCATAACTAAAACAAAATAAAAAAGATTGAAATATAATGATATTCTTACTATTAAAGTTTGTTTTACTGTTATATTCTATTGAAAATAAAAAGTATATTGATTTTTTTTTGTGGTCATTTTATATACTTTTTCTATAAATAAAGGGAGTATAATTATAAAGATTATCGGCTATTTTTAGCCACATAATATCATCCAACATAGTATGTGACCTGTTAGTTAGCTTAAAATTCACTGAATTAAAAAACAAAATTAATGTGCTCATTTCGTCTCCAATGATTGAGCTAAATAATGATTTATGATTGGTTGAACTACTTATATTGTTAGTCTATTTTAAGAATCAAATTATCTGAAATTTGATTAATATTTTAAAAATATACATTTCAATTTTTACTTGTTCTTGTGGCTTCATGTGGTAGATTAAGGGGCCTAGCCTCTTCACAATTTCTCCTTATTAGTACTAATATTTTTTAGAAATCACATAATTTTTTTGTTCTTCAGTATTTATTAATATATTTTCTTCATTTGTTTTGTATCTTTTTTGTTGTCTTATTTTTATTTAAATTTTATAATTGTACTTCAACCTTTTTTTTAATTTTAAATTGAAAGTCTATTGAAAAGAATCTCTCCAATATATATAGGAAGTAACGTTTGTGTATATTCTATCCTCTCAAATTTTATTCGGTGAATTGCACTAAATTGTTATTATTGGTTTTGTTCACCTTTATTATCAAGCACTTTTTAATGGAAAATGAAGAAGAAGAAAAGGGAAGAAAACAAAGATTTAAAAGAAATATAAGGGACTGGAAAAAAGGATTTATCTTTTTAAAATTGATAGCTCAATTTGCCTTAATAGTCAAATAGATACTAGGTGGATTCATTTTAATGGATTTTCAAGTCCCTATGCGCCTATTTTCAAACAATTTGAAATATTTGGCCAATTAGTCATCGGAATGTGTTTTTTAATATATATGGTGTAATAGCTTAGGTATGTAATGAGAAAACTAGATAGTTTAGATGAAATTAGTAAAAATATGATAAGTTACATGTATTTTAACTTATTTACCTAAATTAATTGTCGAGAAATGAAACATGACTATTATTCTGATACAGAAGGAGTATAAAATTATATTACTTTCATTCATCTTAATTTATGTGATATCTTTTATTTTTCGAGAATTGATCTAACTAATTTTTAAAATTAAATCGAATTAAAATTAACTTAATTTATTAAAAATAAAATTTTAAATATTTAAAACTTATACAGAAAAGTTTTAGTATGAATTATAATTCATAAAATATCACGTAAATTAAAACATGGAAGTAAAATTATGACATGAGAACTAGAGAAATACTTGTAGAGTAGTTATTTAACTTTGGAATATAACCAGAAAAAAAGAAACAATTGACAAACACAAAATCAAATCAAACTGCCAACTTGTCCTTTATTTAGGCCATGTTCCCTAGAATCATCCAGCTTTTTTATTACTGTCATTTTGCTTCTCTATACAAACTCTCCTCATTCTTAGCTTTCCAGTTTTCTGTGGGCCCTTTTCCTCATGTGCTTCCTTCTTCTTCCTACTCTCAACTCTGCAAAAAACCCTACCACATTGCACAATGTTTCTCTTCTAAGCTTGAAAAAAGATTGAATTTTTGCTATAAAGAACACTTGGTTTCTTGTTTTTCTTCATTGTCTTGTCAAAAAGTTTCAATCTTTGCAAAAGAAATGAACACCCTTCTTGTGTTAAAGCTTGTATCTTCACTTGTTCTATAAAGAACACTTGGGTTCTTGTTTTGTCAAAAAGTTTCAATCTTTACAAAAGAAATAAACACCCTTCTTGTGTTAAAGCTTGTATCTTTACTTGTTCTGTAAAGAACACTTGGGTTCTTGTTTTTTATTTCATTGTGTTGTCAAAAAGTTTCAATCTTTACAAAAGAAAACACCCATCTTGGTTTAAAGCTTGCAGCTTTACTTGTTCTATAAAGAACACTTGGGTTCTTGTGTTTTTTTCATTGTCTTATCAAAAAGTTTCAATCTTTACAAAAGAAATGAGCACCCTTCTTGGTTTAAAGCTTGTAGCTTTACTTGTTCTATAAAGAACACTCGGGTTCTTGTGTTTTTTTCATTGTCTTGTCAAAAAGTTTCAATCTTTACAAAAGAAATGAACACCCTTCTTGGTTTAAAGCTTGTATCTTTACTTGTTCTTGGTATTTCTGCATTTTTTTTGGGTGTTGAGTCTCAAGATGATGATGTTTCAGTGATGTTAGCTTTGAAAAAGAGCTTAAACCCACCTCAAGAAGTTGGATGGTCAGACCCGGATCCATGCAAATGGAACCATGTGGGTTGTTCAGATAAACGGGTCACCCGGATCCAAATTGGGCGCCAGAACATTCAAGGTACTCTCCCTCCAGAAATCTCTAAACTTACTGAACTTGAACGTTTAGAGCTTCAAGGGAACAACATTTCTGGCCCTTTGCCTAGTTTGAGTGGTTTGAGTTCATTGCAAGTGTTACTGCTTGGTGAAAATCAGTTTAGTTCAATTCCTGCTGATTTCTTTACTGATATGTCTTCATTACTGTCTGTTGATATTGATAAGAACCCTTTTGTTGGTTGGGAGATCCCTGAAAGTCTTAGAAATGCTTCTTCACTTAAAAACTTTTCAGCAAATTCAGCAAATGTAATTGGGAGAATTCCTAACTTTTTTAGTCCTGATGAGTTTCCTGGATTGGTAAATTTACATTTGGCTGGCAATAACTTGGAAGGTGAATTGCCCTCCAGTTTTTCTGGCTTGCTGCTTGAGTCTTTATGGTTAAATGGACAGAAGCTTAATGGAGGAATTGATGTTCTAACAAACATGACATTCCTGAAGGAGGTTTGGTTGCATTCCAATAACTTTTCGGGGCCGTTGCCGGACTTTTCAGGATTAAAGGCTTTGGAGACATTGAGTCTTAGAGATAATGCCTTTACTGGTCCCGTGCCAAGTTCTTTGATGAATCTTGAGTCTTTGAAGTTCGTTAATTTGACGAATAATTTCTTTCAAGGACCAATGCCGGTGTTCAAAGGTTCTGTTGTTGTTGATTCGGCCAAAGGTACAAATAGCTTTTGCTCGTCACAACCAGGTGATTGTGATCCTAGAGTAAATACATTGCTTTCAATTGCAAAAGCAATGGATTATCCACCAAATTTTGCGAAGAACTGGAAGGGAAATGATCCATGTGCTGATTGGTTTGGTCTTACTTGCAGTAATGGTAACATTACTGTCATAAATTTCCAGAAAATGGGGCTTTCAGGAACAATTTCTCCTGAATTTGCTTCACTGAAGTCGCTACAAAAAATAGTTCTTGCAGATAATAATCTGACTGGTACAATTCCAGAAGAGCTAACCACATTGACAGGCCTTACAGAGTTAGATGTGTCAAACAATCAAATTTATGGAAAGGTACCAGCTTTTAGGAAAAATTTGATTCTGAAATTTAGTGGTAACCCTGATATTGGAAAGGATAAGAGTGATGCACCTTCCCAAGGCAGTTCTCCAGGTGGTTCAACAGGCTCTGATGATGGAAATGCCCAAGCAGCTCGTAAGAAGTCCAATCGCCGGGTTGGAATTGTGGTGTTTTCTGTAATTGGAGGTGTATTTATGCTTTGTTTGATTGGAGTGGCAGCTTTCTGTCTGTACAAAAGCAAACAAAAGCGTTTTAGCCGAGTGCAAAGTCCAAATACCATGGTGTTGCATCCACGTCATTCTGGTTCTGACAATGATAGTGTGAAAATCACAGTTGCAGGATCTAGTGTCAGTGTTGGTGCAGTTACTGAAACTCATACTGTTTCTGCTAGTGAAGCCGGTGATGTTCAAATGGTTGAAGCAGGAAATATGGTGATTTCCATCCAAGTACTGAAGAATGTGACCAACAATTTTAGTGAAGACAACATACTAGGCCGGGGAGGCTTTGGCACTGTCTACAAAGGTGAATTGCATGATGGGACTAAAATTGCAGTCAAAAGAATGGAAAATGGAATCATCACTGGGAAGGGACTAGCTGAATTCAAATCCGAGATTGCTGTATTGACTAAGGTCAGACATAGGCATCTTGTTGGACTACTTGGGTACTGTCTTGATGGAAATGAGAAACTTCTAGTCTATGAATACATGCCTCAAGGAACATTAAGCAGTCATCTCTTCAACTGGGCAGAAGAAGGGCTTAAACCCCTGGAATGGACAAAACGATTGACCATTGCATTAGATGTTGCTAGGGGTGTAGAGTACCTCCATAGTTTAGCCCACCAGAGTTTCATTCACAGGGATCTGAAGCCTTCAAATATTCTTCTAGGGGATGATATGAGGGCTAAAGTTGCAGATTTTGGCCTTGTCAGACTTGCCCCAGAAGGGAAAGGTTCTATAGAGACAAGGATTGCTGGGACATTTGGATATTTAGCACCGGAATATGCAGGTATGCTCTTTGCTTACTTATATGTGTATGCCTAATTGCTGATATAATACTTGTATGCAATTTGTGCCTAGATAAACTTGGTCTTAAGTCCAAAACCTCTAAAGTATGAATTGTGTGAACCTTAGGAGTTTGATCTCAGGATGCTTCCAGAGAATTAGCATTCATGAGTCAGATGATACTAACTGTACTCCAAGAAACTTAGCCTGTTTTACATTAATCAACTTTTGTCCTATAATAGGTTTATAACAGTATATATTAATGTTTTGTCTTTTTTCTAAGTCAATTATACTTGTGCTCATGGTTAAGAACCTGTCATTCATACATTGTCATATATCAAATATCCTTATTGATTCTGTAATCCCCTTTAATGCTATGATTACTTAGTTTCTAAAAGTGGATACCCATCCTACTGGAAACACTTTTTCCTGATGCATTTGCTTAATGCCACCGGTGTCTACTTTGGCCTAATCGCACACTTTAAACATGTTATTAATCTTATGACAGAAGATCCTCTTTTTTTCTTTTCCGCTTGGTGGAAATTGGAATTCAAGGATAGCCAAATTCGTTATTTGCTCACTTTCCTGATCGTGATATGTGCATAGGAGTTTTTTGGAATGTAGATACATCATTATCTTAACTTGTATTTTATCTTGTTTCGTCTGCCAGTAACAGGGAGAGTGACAACCAAGGTGGACGTGTTCAGTTTCGGTGTGATTTTGATGGAGCTCATCACAGGAAGAAAGGCTCTTGATGAAAGCCAGCCTGAGGAGAGCATGCATCTAGTAACATGGTTCCGAAGAATGCATCTGAATAAGGATACATTCAGAAAGGCAATTGACCCCGCAATTGACCTTAGTGAGGAAACACTCGCCAGTGTCAGCACTGTAGCTGAGCTAGCTGGCCACTGTTCTGCAAGGGAGCCATATCAAAGGCCTGACATGGGCCATGCTGTCAATGTTCTTTCATCTCTTGTGGAGCTCTGGAAACCATCCGACGAGTGCTCAGAGGACATATACGGCATTGATCTCGATATGTCATTGCCCCAAGCACTCAAAAAGTGGCAGGCTTATGAAGGTACAAGTCACATGGATTCATCCTCTTCTTCTTACCTTCCAAGCTTGGATAACACTCAAACAAGCATACCTACTCGCCCCTACGGATTTGCTGAGTCATTTACATCTTCTGATGGTAGGTGAGAAGTTGATACTCTTTGATCTAGGTTTGGTTGTTCATTCTCTCCGTTTTCTTCCTCATCGTGAGTCACACATCATTTTTTTTCTTCTTTTTTTTTTGCTTTTAACTCTGATGCTTTTACCTTAACTCATTGTTAGTTTTGGCACTGTGGTGAATAGGGATTCTTTTTAAGATTTTTGTTGTCTTTTGACTCTTATTGTATGATGATACTCTCTCTTTTCCATGTGAATACATTGTGGTTTGGGAAATGAAAGGGATGCCATCAATTACCAGTAGATCATTGTACTTTTGTATTCTTCAATTGTTTTTTTGTTAGAAAACTTTGTAGGTGCAAGCTGTATTGAAATGTAAAGTGGCTTTGAAGTGTGCAAATCATAAAGATAGTTTTTTGCTTATGATGCTTTTTCAAGCAAAATGTTAAGTTTTTTGTTATGATTACAGATCAACTGCTGGCAATCTTTATCATTGCAAATAGCCAATAAAATTTAGTATAACAATAACCTACTGTTTTCGATAGACTCTCGATTCAAAGGGAATAGCCTAGTGGCAAAATCTTAAGAAATAATTTAAGGTGCATGTAATATTCAATCATGTCAAACAGTAATTTTCACAAGTAACCAAATGTCTGAGATCCACAAAAGGAAGTTGTCTTTACTCTTTGTAATCATATGATATAAGAAAGACAAGTCTCAATTGTCTTTCTGAAAGAAAAAAAAAGAGAATGTGGTCCTTGATTCGATCTAGAAGTTAATGAAGTGAGTGAAAAACATGTTAGACTAGCGTTTAAATTTCATTAAAACTAAATCGCACTATTTTTTTCTTCTTCATCGAGGTAAGGCTAACATACAAAGTTATCTAGTGTTAGATGACAAGTATAGTAAGTACTAGAATGAAATAATTGAGGTATGTGCAAGTTTAACGAAGAAACTATTTTTATCAAGAAACAAAGAGTGGTAGGGGATAGATGTTTTACCTAATTCAAGACAATACTTCTCTCATATCTAGAATTGATCATTTATTTCAAAAATAACACATACCACAAAATAACAGCTAGTTTGGTATATAAGATAAGTAGAAAGTCATTTTCATCACCAAAATCAGTGATACAAACAAAACAAAAAAAGGTCAAAAAAAGAAGAAGTGGAATATTATAAACTTTTTCCTCCAATTTGGAGAGGATAAAAACAAAAAGCATGTTCTACTGTCATCCAACCAAAATGTAAGATTTTTTTTTAATTTTGAAAAAATAGCTGGTCACATGTACAAAATTTGTGTATATATTCTCCACCTTAGTTTATTCAAAGGAGATTTAAAAATTGTGGACCAACAACTAAGAGACTTCACATGGAGGTTTATATCATCCTTATCTGTCTCAATCATTATATTTATCTAAAACTAATAGCTTAATGGCCAATATTTTGAGTTTCAAAATTAAAAAAGATGCATATCTTGGATATTAATATAGACGAATGGCAATTTATAGTATTTTTCATAAACAAATTTAACATCAAAGATCGATCAAGTTGATTCTCATGAAATGAAAGGTCATACTATTATGAGACGGAGGGAGTATTTGGCCATTCTTTTGAGAAAAATAATATAAAAAAATATTGTAGCAAAAATTACTTTGCTGTTATGTGGAAAAAAAAGGAACTTACTATTAAACCAAAAAAAAATAGGTCAAATATACCTTTACTAAGGGTTTATATTTACCAGACTATTCAAAAAAACTTACTTCATATATTATCTACAACACATTAATTCCAATAGTCTCAAGAACTTGTTCTCTATCTTTTATTCAAATTTTTACAATTTATTTACATAAAATTGAAACACTTAATTAAATCTCTTATAATGAATAGATCAAATTGTTTATCTATGTAAATAATCCCAATTGTAAAGTATATAAAGATATATACCTCATGTTTGTAATTTGATTATTGAGTGACCAAACATATACTATATACTTCTTTAATATTAATTGAAGTTCTTATAAATAACTTGATAAAAAACGATTACTACTCACTCAAAATATATGCTTTCATAAATTTAATTGCTAAATTAAGAAAAGTAGACTTCGAATCAAAACTGAGGAATTCTAATGTATATATATATATTTTTTTACATTCAGGAATTAACTTAAAAGGAGGAATTTCTTTTTGGTAGGGAGCACTTTTCCTGAATAGATTATATTTGACGGAAATATAAATACCAGACACATAATAAAAAAAACTTCTCCAAAAGGAAAATAATTAGAAAGAGATGCTTATAAATTCAAAAAATAATTTAAGAAAAAGAAAAACCAAAAAAGAGATGTTTACATTTGGCCTGCTAGGATTTTATTAGCTTCTCCCTAAAAGAAAAAGAAAAATTGAAATATCAATATACATGAATTCATCCAACTCACTTTTACCTTTTCACTTTTTCAGTGATTCAAATTCACAGTTTTAGAACTAAAAATAAAAGTACTTATCATTTGAGCAACTCTTTCTTGTCATTATATTATATTAATCCATTGCTAATGAATTTACTGAGCGTGGGATAAATATAAGAAAAAAAATAGATCAATCAAAATATAATGGTTAATACACCTTCCCTTTTGAACGCCACATAAATTCCAGCTGATTGTTATGGAAGTTTCCAAACATCAAAATTAACCCTCAATTGGGTATGACGGTTCATTGTCACTAGACAATCATCTTTGAATCGATCAATTTTTTTCTGATCTCGAAATAAAAAGTTCGACTTTCTTTTTTTCGCTCATTCCGATGAAGTTATTTATTTTGTTAACATATCCATCTAATCTTCAATGGTTTTCGCCCTTTGATTTTTGAAGGATTGATCATTCTATTTAAAGTTGAATATTATTTCTTGTAACGACCCATTTGGTCGTTTTGAGTACTAGAGCTTTTTATTTCAAAAAATACTTTCCGATAGATTCTAAATGGATATTTTGGACTATTCATAACTACAATTATAGAGTTAATGGGGTACTTTTAATAATTTATTTAGTTGCTGGTTAAAGAAAATAACATTAAAATTTATAGTGGGTCACTTTCACACTTTTATAGTTGATCTTATATAATAATTAAGGAGTAAATATTCTGTAGAAAGAAATTATAGGGTTTAATAGTTATTTAATTATTAATTAGTGGATAATTATTAACCCTAAATAATTAAAAGAGGAGAGAAGAAGACTTACAACCGAGCGAATCCTACCTGCGGGGTCGAAGAAGTACCAGCGAATCAGGTAAAGAATCAACCAAATCATAACCCTAGTGTATTTTATATATGAACATAGATTGTATGATTAATTATTTAATAATGGGGTGAAAGAATCAGAAACAGATATATAGATGGTGCTGCTTTGAACTTGGGTGGTAATTAATGATAGGAAAAGTTGAGTGGAAATCCTTGGAATGCATTAATTACTCATTAGTCTTATATATTCAATTCTATTGTTGTCTATTTTTAGTAAATGTTAGGCGATAATTCATATTATTATTATTATTATTATAATGTTGGGGGTAAGAAAATTGAGGTGTTGCATTTATAAGGTGTGTATATTGATATGACTAATGGAAAATATAATCAGTAACTAAAGTTCCTAATTGGGGCAACTGATTGGAGTACTGGTTGTGAGAATATTTTATAAGAGTAAGGTCATCATGGAATCTGGGTATTGCCATCGTGCAATATTTATGCAGGAGTATGGTTGAGGGTTGGCTGCCACTGGTTTCGTAACCGGTGGCTTCAAACATTTAATATTAGTATTGTGTTCTCGTATTATAAATTATAATTCGATATATTGAGATAGGTAATTAAATATGAGGCATAATATATTAATTGAATACCATTAAACTTATGCAAATTGGAGGAAAATTGATTATGGAATCGGGTGAATTTTTGGGTCTAGGCTAGACATATAATAACGTTGGTGGTGTCTATAGATTCGTTAACTTACAAATTATGCATACTTGATAGATTGGAAACGTTCGAAGGTGTTAAGGAAAGGAAAGGCATTGGAGAAGTAGCTTGTCTGGCGTCAGTTCTTCGGTGGAGGTAGGTTATGGTTTATTCTACTTGATAGATAGACTCTTAATAGTGATTGATATGCATTGAATGATACTGTGAAGTTCTCTATGTACTTGATTGTGTGGTTTGGTTGTGTGGTTTGTGATTGGTCTAAAATCCTGAGACCGTGAGATTTATAATCCGTAAACCTCTCTATCGAAGTGATGTCTTGAATAAAGAAGGCTTGATGTAATATTATTAATGAATTGAAAAGTGGTGATAATAAATGATAAATTAATAATATTATTGGATCGGAGTGTCACATTCCGACATGGTATTTTTGGATCGGAGTGTCACGTTCCGACACGGTATTTTTTGGATCGGAGTGTCACGTTCCGACACTGTATTATTGGATCGGAGTGTCACATTCCGACACAGTATTATTGGATCGGAGTGTCACGTTCCGACACGGTATAATTGGATCGGAGTGTCACGTTCCGACACGGTAACATTAAAGGAAAAGATATTGAATTAACTTAATGTACTCAATCTCAATGAACGCATTTCCCAAACGAGTGTGATGTGGAGGCATGAGTCCTCGTGTGTGTGCTTGATATTGTGATTGATTACGTACTTGCTTCAATTGTCACTTGTTCATGTTGTTGTTTCTTATCACCTGCTAAGTGCTATAGTTGACTTTATACTATTATTCATTGTATATTAGTTTTCTATTTTGGGTTGGCCGATGATACCTACTCAGTACATGTTGCCCCGTAATGAGCCCTACTTGTATTTTTCTTTGTTTCCTTTTATGGAGTGCAACGAGTGTACCAACGACTTTGACTGGCCCTCAGCTCTAGCCAGTCTCAGCATATCAGGTTTAAGGGTGAGCTATTTATTCAAACTTGTGTTGGATTCTCTCGGTCATGACCTAATGTCCATAGTTTTCAGACACAAATTACTTTATTTCATTTATTTCGGTGTCTTTGATACTCTTAGACTTAGTATTTAGAGATTAGATGTCCTTGATGTGATGACTTTCAGATTTTGGGGATAATATGTAATAGACTTTAGAGGTTTATTTGATTGGTTGCTTTAATAAGTTTTGGAGCTTCCGCGTTATTGTTGTTATTCGTAGTTGAATTATTGGTATATGTTGGGGTTTAGATTCCTTGGTCCGCCCACTTAGAAGGT